TTCTGTTATTTCTGATTCTGGATGTTCTTTCCAGAACTGGTGCATTCTTTTCAGATATCCTGTTCTTGTTTGACTTGATTTGTAATAGCAGATCATTATTTGTTTGCAGTCTTTGTATATTTGTGATGGGTAAACAACTTTTCTTCCAGTAGTTGTACAGCTGCTGGCCCTGGTTGCTCAGCCAACAGACCTGAGTTCTGTAGCCCATTTGTCAAGATGTCCAAAAACTAGAACACCTACCACGGCTCTCGCTGACTTGGGCAACGACTGATCCGATATAGATTTCTGTAAATTACATCTCATCACATTGTTTATGGGAGAGACACTCTTCGTCTGGCTCTTCTGATGAGACCTGCCCAGAATGGTTGAACCTCTGGCATAGCTCTCATCTTCCTCGGAGCACGCAAGCCCCATAACCATGTCAAGGTAGTGCCTCATTGAGGGATTATTATTATATTTTTATCCCACCTTTTTTTATATATAACTCAAGGCGGCAAACCTACCTAATACTCCTGTCACCTATTTTCCTCACAACAACAATCCTGTGGAGTGGGCTGGGCTGAAAGAGTGTGACTGATCCAAGGTAGTGCCTAGAACTCAGAGTCTCCTGGTTTCTAGGCCAGCACCTTAATCACTACACCAACTGTCTCTCTAATTCTAATTTTATGTGTGTATCTATTGCTAAAACTTGGGCAAACAGCATGGGATTGTTATTTCTGGATTCGTTGTTAATACCAAAAGCTCTCATTGATGCATCCCAAAATCATACAGAGGTAATTCACCAGTGATGAAGCCACTATGGCTGAGATCAATGTGATCAGCATAAAGAGGGGTACTGACAGTTTTCAGGGAGCAAAGCAGAACTGCTATTTAGAGTTTGCCTCCTACTGACTGGTAGTCAGAACATCCACTACTGGTGTTCCATCTATCCGAGAGATCCCTGAAAGAACTGAGAGAAACTTTTAGGCTTTGCTTTCTTCAAAAAATCAAGACAATCAATTCATTCCTTGTGAAAAGAAGTCCACAAAATCCTATGCAATGGAGTTTAGCAGGAACATCACTGAGAGGGAGTGTTTTCTCCCACTTTATGGCTGCTCCAAGTCTTAGCCCTGCCTAGTGAAATGAGCAACCCAGTTGTTAGGATATCCTCCTAGCAAAAAGAAAAGAAAAGAAGAAAATAAAATAAAATGGTGACTTCATCTACTTCACATCATCTAGGAATAATCAATGTACAACTCCCAAATTTATAGGCACCACCCTGGGAGTTGTAGCTGCAACACATCCAGAGAGTACCACAAAGGGGAAGGCTGAATATTCAAGCAGGCAAATTAAATAAAGCCAGATCTCTTCCATAAAACTCAATGGTATCTGAATGTTATCTGTAATGTTTACTAAAATAATTTTTATTTTTCCACTGACCTATTTTTGAAGTGTGTTTGTCATATCTATCGTGTAAATCTCTGTTCTTGGTTGGCTGTTGATGTATAGTGACCTATAATAACCAAAACATTTTGTTCATTTTCTATTCTACCGATACTTTTAATATACACATTAGACACAATACAATTACAAGAAATAATCAAATAAATAAATAGATAACAATAATCTTACAGTTTAGTTTCAACTGCTGATTTTTTATTCCTGTATCTTAATATTTCTCCATGCATTTCCCTATCTCTAGTAAACCGTTTACCAAGGTACACAAATTAACCTACTTTCTCTAGTTAATTTTCCCCATTAGTCACAACTACCCTGGTCTTTTATAACTTAATTTTCAGATCCATCTTGTTGTATTATACAAGCTATCTAACATTTACTGCAAATCATTCAGGTCTCAACTAATAACAAGGCATAATCTGCAAGCAGAAGTACATATACATTCATGTCTCCAAGTGATAAATCTCTAAAATCATTATAAGCACTCTTCTACATTTATTTATTAATATATAAAGCATCAGGGGGACATCACACACCTTTGTCTTACTCTGTTTAATGTTAAGCTATTAGCTATGCATTCTCTGTATTTTCATGCATGCTT